CACTTTCATTTTTGTTTTCATGTATTCTTTATTCCATCAATCAGCACTGCTTCTTCTCTTGGATGTCCTCATCCCTGCCTATCTACATGGTGCTGTACATGATAAAGAGCGTGAAGTGGTGATGACTGCTCTAGAGTCTTTGAACAATTTACTAAAAGATGTGAAGGACCCATGTGTGAGAGGACCCGAACAGCTGGAGAAAATGTGTGCGGTCATCAAGGCAGTGCTACAGAGCAAGGTAATTCATTAATCCACTGATATCTATACATGTACTTCGTGCACCTACATCTAAACTGGTTCTTTTCCCACAGACAGCATGCCAGGATCCAGAGGGTGAAGATGACGAGCAGCAGGTTGGACAATTTTAGGATTCTTTTCAGTCCTTTTACATTTTGATTCTCTTCCATTTGTATTTGGTACCACCACAACACACTATAGTACTATTTTATTATGGGCAGCCCACAGTACCACATTCCCCAACAGCTCTGCAGCAGATGAAATCTGAAATTACTGCTCGTTGACAAACTTAAGGGTGTTTTGCAGGGAAGCTGATGGAAGGGTCTCTAGTGCTGGTCCGTATTGAAAGGAAGTTAAATGCACACATACTTTTTTGCACGGTTTCTATTTTATATTCTTTTTTTGTTTTTGTTTTTCATCAATCTATAATGTATCAATATGGCCTTTCAAGTTTATTTGTAGATCTTTTTCACCTCTTTCTTCCCTTCTAGCTTTTTTTTGTTAGGGTAACAGGCACAAATGTTGCTCAGATAATGAACAGTTATGGCTACTAACTGTTGTAATCTAATGTGTGTGATGATTCAAATGGGGATAGCAACAGAGCTGTTCTTTGTATAATGTTCCTTTTGAATTCATCTTTAGCTTGTTAGACTTCAATTAGTTCTAAAAGAAAGGTCAAAGATTGACTAGGTGTATGAATTACTTGTGTAAACATTCCAAACACCAAGTTTACCTGCCAGCTCTCATTCACTTGAGCTGCATCTTTAAGTGACATTACAGGCTATTTCCCCCACACCCAATGTTAGTGTAAGGACTTACCTTAAATCATCGGTTCTCAACTCGTGGGTCGCGGTGTCATGTCTGCATAGACTGGCCCATCTGCATTAGAGAACTAGAGGGGGAATTTGTGGTTCAGCTTGTGGGAACCTCATAATGTCAAACTGTCCCCTCTCTCCCGGCCTCCCCCGGGCTCTCCAATAAAGTGATATGGCCCAGGGAGATAGGGGACTATATCCTCACTTTCGGCCGGCGCATTAATATCAGGAGCCGCGGCTCCCGACAATTAAGTTAAAGTTCCGGCCCGGCCTGCACTGGAGAGTACAGCAGATATCAATCCGCCGCTGTTTCTACTTTACTCTCCAGTCCAGATAGTTCAGCCGGCTGGAATCAGTAGCAGGGGGCTCCGCTGCAATTTTTTTACCTGCAGCAGAGCTTATGCTAATGCACCCCTCCCCCTTCTGCACTGACAGGGAACTTTATGACAGGGGACACCGATGGTCATTATGTATTCTAAGCCCACATAATATCCAATAGTGTCCCCTGTCGTAGTGTCTCCTGTCAATGTATTAGAGAGCGGGAGCATGCCTATTTTTCTGATCTGCTGTACTGACAGTGTTTCCTGTCTCAGCAGTCACAAGCTGGGCTGCACGGGAGATGGAGCATAATGCTGTGCTTGATCACCTGTGTTGGAGTGCAGGGGAGACATTAGAGGTCATTAGACCCCAGATGTTTCCATAAAGAGAACCTGTCACCTCAATACACTATCACATAGGAGCTTGTTAGCTCCTATGTAATAGTAATAAAGTTGAGGGGGAAAAAATAATAAAATAAATACAAATTTTAACATTAAAACCAACCCAACCATTTGCATGAGAATAAACATGCGTGTGCGGGGCATGCATGTGTACACACCAAACATGTTGGGTATTACCGCGAACGTTGGAGTGAGAGCAATAATAATTGGGCCATAATTCATGGTTAACGCTAAACTGATGACTTGTACAGGCTTTTAAAACGTCACCTATGGACAATGTTATGAAGCATAGTTTTTCGCCATTGCTGAGGTGCATGCAATTTTAACACTTGACATGTTTGGTATCTATTTATTCAATGTAACTGCATCTTTTATATTTTACCAAAAATGTGACCATGTGTCACATTGTTATGCCTGATAAAGGGACTGCATGTGGTTCCTGTCAGTCATTTTGGTGTCACCCCCTCTGATGATATCACGGGGTGTGGGCCACACATCCCTTGTGACACCACTGCCCGCAATACTGCCCTTACCCCCTACTAAAGCTCCAAGCCCCCACATACCCCCCACAATACAACCCCATACCCCCAATAAAATTTCAGTCCCTGACAATACCACCCTTACCCCCCTAGAGGCCCCATTCCAAGTTGGGCCACTTGGACAAGTAATTTTTTTTTTATTTTTAATTCCAAACCCCTGAATGTTATATATACTAGGTTTATGCATGTACTGCTCATTAGCTTGATATTCCAAGTTTATGTAATTGTAGTTTTATGATGCAATGCTTTGGGGCTGGTATACACTTATATTCAGGGTTGGTTTTTACTTCTAGTCTGCTGTCACTGGAGACTACCAATTACATTCAAGAATATCGGAGAATATACCCTCATCTGGAGGAGTTGATCAAATTGTGCACACATAGTGATCCTGATTAAACTGATCCTGATATTCTTCGCTGGAACCTTACAGGATTTTATCTAAGTTTGCTGAGGTACACCCCAAAGTAGCCCTTCTCAGTCAACATGGCCTCAAAACGAAAATATGGTACAAATTATATAAAATATGGGTTTTCATACATTGAAGATAGGCGAGATGGACAGAAACCTCTGTGTTTTGTGTAGTGAAACATTGGCTAATGAAAGCATGAAGCCATCAAAGCTAAAACGCCATTTGGACACAAAACACCCAGCCCATGCAGAAAAACCTGTTGAATATTTTCAAAGAAAACTACAGGAGCTAAGGGCATCACAAAAGTGGCTAACATCTTCTTGTTCAAAGCAAGAGCAGGCACTCCGAGCATCTTACCATGTAGCTCATCGTATTGCAAAATGCAAGAAAGCCCACACTATTGCAGAGGACCTTAGCTTACCTGCCGCCATTGACATGGTCAAAGAGGTCCTGGATCAATCTGCTGCAGATAAATTGAAGACAATTCCACTATCCAATGACACGATACGCAGGAGGATTCAAGAAATGTCAGATGACGTAAAACAACAGACCACAGCTCGCATCAATGCTAACAAATATTATTCATTACAATTGGATGAATCCACTGATATTGTGAACCATGCCATTTTACTCGTTTATGT